CACATAAGTTTCAGCTTTTTAGGGCCAGTGGTTCTTGAGAAGAAGATTTTTAAAGATTTTTCCTATATATTTCAATGTAAAACTTGGATTCCCTATTGTGGCCCCGCCCTACCCCCGGGGGTCATGATTTTAACAATTTAGAATCTACACTACCCCAGCATGCTTCCACGTAAGTTTCAGCTTTTCAGGTCCAGTGGTTCTTGAGAAGAAGATTTTTAAAGATTTTTACTACATATTTCAATGTAAAACTTGGATTCCCTATTATGGCCCCGCCCTGCCCCCAGGGGTCATGATTTGAACAATTTAGAATCTACACTACCTTAGGATGCTTCCAGATAAGTTTCAGCTTTTCTGGCCCAGTGGTTCTTGAGAAGAAGATTTTTTAATGACCCCACCCAATTTTTGTATTTTCTTGATTATCTCCCCTTTGAAGGGGACTTGGCCCTTCATTTTAACAATTTAAACTCCCCTTCACCCAAGGTTGCTTTGTACCAAGTTTGGTTAAAATTGGCCCAGTGGTTCTTGAGAAGAAGTCGAAAATGTGAAAAGTTTACAGACGGACAGACAGCTAGACAGACGGATGGACGACGGACAACGGGTGATCAGAAAAGCTCACTTGAGCTTTCAGCTCAGGTGAGCTAAAAATACAATACCTTGCAATGAGCACAATTATTCGAAGAGGATCTCTGGCAATTGTGAACACAAACAAAGCAAAGGGTGGTCCAAATGCTATAAAAGTGCAACCAAAGAATTCCATCACAGTCATGGTGAATTCTTGTTTATTTGAAGCACCAGTTCTACACTACAAAATATTCTTATACATGTAAATAATTATCAGAATTTTATCACAAATTAGAAAATGTACTGTGATTTAGAGTAAAACTGTGATATAAACTTTATTTTGAATTAAGACTATTCTGCACCAGCACATCTTTTTATCTCCAAGAAACACCAAGGTACCCCAATGACACCCCAAGGTATCCCAAGGTATACCATTATCACCCCAAGGATACCCAAAGTAACCCATTACCTATTATCCCAATGATACCCCAAGATACTAGTACCCCAAGGATACTCAAAGGAATCCCAAGATACCCCTTGGCTCTTGGACAGGGCTGAATTACTGGTAAACAGGGTATTCAAAGTCAAACACCATACACCTTCTAGTTCCATGAACATGCTGGAGGGTTCCTTTCATAATACAAAATGTGCCTAAATATTTGTTTTGGCAATCATTTATAGCCAGATTTTCCTTAAAACAATGAAAGAATTTTGCCTCTGCTGCAAGAATCAAGTACAATCAATAGTTTTTGTCCCTTTTTTCTTTAAAAAAGATCAGACCATCTGCACTTCTTTTGCATGTGGAAATAGTTTTATCCTTTTCACCCTCAGAGCTCCTGTTAATTTTGAAACAGATCCAACTTTAATGTGTCATTCAACAATTTTTTTTGCAAAGCTGTATAATGTTGAAATAATGTAACCCTGCAGAGTAAACAAAAAGGAATTTAACATATGATGTTTTTGGGGGGTATCCTTGGGGTTCTTGGTGAATATCCTTCCTTTTGTTTTGAGTATTGAAATACACAATAAACAGTTAACATCCTAATTTACAAATGCATATAAATTTAGATTCATTTAAGTTAAATGGCATGTTATTGTGGCATCCTTGGGTTGCTATGGCCTCTATTCCTAGGGCTTCCTTTGCGGTCTCTCACTTCTTCGTGAGTACCCTTTGTTTTGTGTATTGTAATACATAATTTACATTTATCAGGTCTTTCATTTTTGTACACCATAAAATATTTATTACAGTTTTGATGAACTATACAAATAAATAGTTTACACAAGTATGCATGTCACTTTTAGATTTTATTTAGTTTATAGCTATTTGTAAGACAAATAACATAAATGAATAAACTGTATATTGGCCCTAAAAAAGATTCATCTAATATATCTAATATAATTACCATATCAAGATCAGTTACATGTAAGGTTCAGGACACACGCAACATAGTTTGAACTTTATTGTCTTTTTCCTTGGAGTTGAAGAGTTCCAATACTTAAAGGAACTGTTTGCTACATTTTAATGTCTATATATGATGTTGAACACTTCTTCTAAAACAAGTTTGGATAAACAAAACATCCAGAATATATGCTTAGAAATTTTTGTATATTTTTCTTTGAATTATACAAGAATTTTCATCAATTGATAACTTTTCAAAGCCCCTGGTAATGCATGCTTATTTTTTGTCTACGAACATCTCATGGCACTTTAATCTTAAATCAAGAATATCTTGAAAAATTATCAGTTGGTAAGGTACGTTGCGTATGTCCTTAAATAGAGTGTCATTTGGGTGTCCTTGGGATTATTTAAAATTGTTTAAGGGTATCCTTTTGCTTCATTTATTGAAATACACAAATAACTAATGGTTATGGTAATTTTTTTTTTACACTAAATATAAAACAGTACTTATGTTTTCAAAGATGTAAGTTTGAGTTAATACAAGTCTCTTTGTTACTTTTAGATGTTCACCTTTGTTTTACTTTTTCCAAGATAAATAGTTCAACTTCTTCAAAAAGATTTAATGCATATAAACCATATCTAAATTCATTAAGATTGAATGGGATGTCATTGTGGTATCCTTGAGGTTCCTTGGTGTACCTTTAATTGAGGTTCCTTGGGGTAAAAAGACACACAAGCACTCTTCTAAATAATCAGAGATTTTCAAATAAACTTTACCTGGAATCTGAAATTTCTCATAGAGTCAGGATGACTGAAAATGTATTGTGGGACTACATCTTAGACATTTTTTGTGCTACTTTGCCAGGGGTCAGATAACTCTGGTGCTAAGAAAGCCCTGTTCCCCTACCTGACTAAAATTTAGAGGCACTTAGAACTGGACCAAATGAACCTTGGTTTGTTATTACAGGAAGGGTGAAAATGTAATGGATAGAAAAAATTGAAGGATCAGACCAGGGTTCAATGCAAGCCCCTTGAACTACCATATAAGTGGAATTTCAAGCAAGACAAAAATTATCATTACTAAACTTCAAAATTCTTCATTTGTTACATTTAATTCACCTTTAAGAACAAATCTTAACTGATGTTCATGTCTTGACATTGGTGTTTCAGACTACTAGGCCGACTATTACTCATATTAGAACCAACATGACCAATTATCCCATCCCTTCATGACCCTACTAAAGAATTCATCTAAAAAATGACCAAAAAAAAAAAAAAAACATTGTTTAACTGTAAGGATAGCTTTTCCTGAAAATCAGAAATAATTATTGGTTTTGATAGGCCACTTAATATTAAATTTCATTACAATGCTAGTTATTTAAATACCAGCTGCACTGATCAAATGTCTTCCCAACCACTGTTGCTTCATAGCAAACATCCATTATCTGTATATTTAGGTGAAACTACATGGGGTAAATCCACTCAGAAATAATTATTAGCAAGCGCAGGGAGTGGAGCGGCTCTAATGACAATGCCTGTGCAAAGAAAAAATTCGGACTACTGCACATTCATTCAATAGAATTTTTTGTAGAAAAGAAGTCTGAATGCTTCTTAAATGCGGATCTTAAAATTAATTGAACAATGTGCTCGCCCCAACAGTCGCACTGTCAACATATTAGGTTCTGATTGGTCACTTATTATTAAATTTCATTATAATGCTAGTTATTTAAACACCAGCCACACTGATCAAATGTCTTTCCAACCACTGTTGCTTTGTAGCAAACACCCATGATCTGTACATATAGGTGAAACTACATGGGGCAAATCACTCAAGGCAAAAAGGGAATTGGAGCAAAACCACTCAAAGCAAAAAGGGTATTGGGGCAGGAGCAAAACCACTCAAGGCAAAAAGGGTATTGGGGCAAAACCACTCAGAGCAAACAGGGCATTTGGGCAAAACTACTTGGATTCTACTATATCAACTTATCTATCTGGCCACAGCAAATAATCCTGCTTGACCTGCATACCGTCAACACACTCATGAAAATATGGTGGTGGTTGGTTGTTGTGGGGGTTATTTTGATTCATTAGATAAAGAGGCAGTATATCAGTTAGAGAGCAGGTATTCAAGGAGTCCAATTTTAATTCTTTGTCTGACTTTATATTTCTTCACTTCCTGCCCAAAATCAAGATTGAATCTGACATAAAATCTGACCGTTCTTATTTTGTATCAAATAAAAAAAAATGATGATTCTGGTATGGTTACTATTACTTGTTATATTACTGAATATTACCTAATAACTGTGTAATTACTTCTGGTAAATTTGGTCCATTATTGACAGTTTCACTTCCGCAAAAAGTAATATTCTTGATCACTAGAAAGCTTAAAAAGAAATTTGACAACTTGTTCTTTAAATGTATTATTTATACTTTTGACTACCATATCTATAAATAATTCTATTTTAAATACAGATTTTTGGCTAAATACTGAATGATTCTACACCACTGTCAACATCAATTTTGCTTTCATCTTTTTAATATAAAATCTCCCGTTCTAACTCAATAATGTATGACCTAATAAATATACAATGAGTAATCTGACACCGATCAGCAGGGAGGCCGAAACTTCAATGTAAATAAACAAACTTTCTGTCTCAACCGTTAGTCTAAAAAAAGAGATGTCTTTCTTCGGTAGGTTTATCATCATAAATACGAATGTGCATTGAATTTTGTTTTTATAAAAATATTGGTTCATTTGAAAGAAATAAAATATACGATAAAAATAGTTATGTACTCAATAAGTATACATTGTACATAAACAGGTCCGGCACAATCCCCAGATTAAGCTCCATAGCTTGAATTAGCTATTTAGCTTTATTAAGCTATTCAAAATAGCTTGATTTAGCTATTTTATCACATTTTTTCTTAAAAGTGTTTTTCTTTTCAGCATGTACAAAAAGTTGCACTTTGGTGCAGTGATAGTTTTCAACTTTGAACTCCTCTGAAAACAATGCACGCAAAAATCTCCTTGAGAGACTTTGTACTCAAAGTTCTAAAACTTTTGGGGCTATATAAAGCAATTGGTTTTTGACCAAACAGTTATTTACTTGCCAGGTGTGGCACAATCTCTTGATTTAGCTATATGGCTTGATTTAGCTATATAGCTTTATTAAGCTATTCAGAATAGCTTGATTTAGCTATTTTATCACACTTTTTTCTTAAATGTGTTATTTTCTCAGCATGCACAAAAAGTCACACCTTGGTGCAGTGATAATATTCAACCTTGAACTCTTCTGAAAATAATGCATGTAAAAATCACTCATCAAATTGTGTCTCCTTAAGAGACTTTGTACTCAAAGTTCTAAAAGTTTTGGGGCTATATAAGGTCATTGATACAGTTACTTCTTCAATGAAATTATAAAGGAGCCCAATTATGGTCAACAAGACAATTGATTGGTAATAATTCAGTACAATAAGCAATCATACTTATCCATGTCTCAAGGCACACAAGGTAGTGTACAGTTACTCAAACAATGGAAATTCACCTTTTGCTTAAAAGTATTCAAATGCTGTAATGTTAGAACTATCTTTGATTTCGGTTTTTGTTTTGATAGCCCATAGTATATATATGAATATTCAAATACTTGCGACTTTTTGTCTATTTCTTACAAAAAACATTTTTGTGAAAAACTGCATAAAAATAGCTTTATCAAGCTATTTTGAATAGCTTACTAAAGCTATTTAGCTATGCTAAATCAAGAGATTGTGCTGGACCTGCTTATTTTGTCCTCTTCGTGCTTTGAGCACATGTCTGAATTCTGAAACATTTAGGGAGGGATGAGTGTGGTGGTAAGAGAGATTCATTGACTGATGGCCAGATACTGTTTGTGTACTTTAAAAAGTGGTCTTTATATTTTACCAGCTTTGATGCAGACAGCAAAGCGCAAATTCATGAATACTGTTTATAAATCATAAATAAATACAATACACGATGCAGATGTGCATAGTGCTAATTCATGATTACATCAACCTCTCAATACCCAGTGATTGCACAAAATTTTAAATCCATCAATTTACATGTGTGTGTACACATACAGTAGCTGGTTCAGTCCCCTGTGTCCCATTTAGTCCCATTTTATCTCTTTCTGATTGTTACACAGGATTACAGCCTCTTTCTGCCTACATTCATTCTACTTTGTATATTCTGTATATAAGTGTTTGCAAAATCTCAATGATTAGGCATTTCTTTTGATAGTCTGTAATACATATTGATGTCCATGGTCATTATTCCATCCTTCTGATTTAGCTCAGAAGAAAAGTTTTTTTCAAAATTATATAAGATATATGGTACTTAATGTTTTGTAACAGAGCAAAAGTGGAACACACACCGATCTGATTCTCCATGTCCCTGCCCAATCTATTTTTGGAATTTTTAAACAGTCTTTGAGAATTACATGTACATCATACTTTTAAAGTAATGATTTACTTAGTTACCTTGATTATAAATGATTCCCCCCCCCCATTTCTAGATGAGTAAATTACCTGTGACTGAGTTAGTTATCCACATTGAACCAATATTTTCCTCAGAACTTTTGGATTATCACGCAGTATTTTAAAATACTGGTACATATATTGGTATATATATTTACCAAATTTTTTTACTTATTTCAGATCTTTATGAACAGTCATTAGAGAATCCTAGTAAAAATAAACATTCCAAACTGACAGAAGAGGAGAAGCATGCTATCACATGTGGACTTTTGCATGCACATTGTATAGGCTGTGTTGCAAGAGACTGTGACATCACTCCTGATGGCCAAAGCAGTTGCTCTGTTATCGAGTGTCCATATCTGTGTGGTCAGAAATTTCACAGGTGTAAGCTTGATGAACATGAAAACTTTTGTATGAGTAAGAAAGTGCCTTGCATAAATCATATCTATGGCTGCCCCTTTTTGATCCCCAGGGAACAACAAGCCCGTCATATCCCTGCATGTCCTGCAAGTGTAGTTAAATGTATGATCGAATGGCATAGGTGGCCAATGCATTCTAGTGACTTGTGTGTCAAAGCACCACTGCCTTTGAATAATCCACATGTACAATGTGGACAGTTAGATGTAGCCCTGGCATTACGAGATCAACGAGTGCTTCTGAAATCCATGTCCGATGAAAAGTCAAAGCCCACTGAAAAGGTAGAGGAAAAGTCAGGTGATGTCCCTTGGGAAACAAACAAGTATCCCCCTGGTCTTCAGAAATCTCTCTGTCACGGTATCTTCTCACCACCAAAAGAGATTGATTATAGTGCCAAAGAACCCATTAATGATGACAGAAATAATTATGCTAAAGAACATGCTTCCTCCCAGCTAGGGGATCAGGGGGTGGATTATATTTCCTCTCGAATGGGTCTTGCTGGTCTTCGGAGATTAAGCGAGATTGAAAGAGAAAAACGAAAGCAGTTGGAAAATTTGGCAACCATTAGCCCTCCACAAGAGAAGAAAGTGGAATTGCAGTCACCTGTCATTCAATTGAAAAAAGAGAGTACAGAAAACAATGGAAGTGATGAAGACAAATTGATTAACCTCTACAATAAAAAAATACAGCTTCATGAACTTCTAGGTGTATGCTTAAATATGGAAGGCTTTCCAAGTGGAACAAAGATTTTCAAGTTTAGCTGCGATCAGAATTTCAGACGTGATGAGATAGCATGGCATTTTAAAAATGTACACAATGAAATACAAAGTGGTTTGAATGGTGTCATGGAACAAAGATGTCCTCTTGCTTACCAAGGTTGTAGCTTCACCCATCGCAAGCTTATTCCTCTTGTACCAAAGGGTAAAATAGTTCATAGCTCTCTATTGGAAAGTTTTGGTCTAGTCATAGATGGGGGAAGTGATGAAGAAAATATTGAATCTATAGAGGATATTCCCACTAGAGGAAGTATAGATTCAGACAAAATGCGTCGACTACGAGAAGCAACTCCCGAAATTGTTACGTCTTCCAAATACGACTCCGTCATTAAGGTGATTCCAAGGTTTAGAAGAGTATCAGGTCCAGAAGTTTCTGGTAAGGTATATCAAGAAAGAGAGGTCTTACACTTAACCAGTCTACCTGCAGAAATCCTAGAACATATCATTAACTATCTGGATGGCTTCAGCTTGAACAATTTATCTTTAACCTGTACGACTCTGAGACAGTTATGTGCAGTGTTACTGCAACAGAAAGGGATGGTTCGAATGGTTTGGGAGAAGCAAGAAAATGGTGATTCATGGCATGTTACAAAAAATGTAAGATCTGTAATTATGGTACTATTAATTTAGGCTCGCATACATTTTAGAGAGAAAGAATCAATAATTTAATCCTTTTGTCTTTGTTTTCTGTAAGAGTTTAATTTTCTTCAGATAGTTATTGCACATACAATTTTAATCATTGAAAATCAAATAGCTTTTACTACCTTCTCTTTACATTTTCACCTGTAATTTTTTTACGTACTTCATAATTGTATTTGCTTGGCCAATTTCAGAAGTGGAGTTTTAGTAACAGTATGACTCCAATCAGACAGTGGAAGCTAGTGGGTGATGGTGTAATGTCTGAACACCTTATAGCCTGCCCATTCAACCAAGAGAAAGACAAAATTATACACACAGAAAAAATTAGGGTCATGGAAAATGTTGGTAGGTGGCAGCACACAGGAAAGGAAAAAGATAATGGACTGTTGGAATCATTTACTTATTTTAACATTTTCTAAATTTAGCTTGGTCATGGACCATTTGACACAATCATGAAATCACCAAATATAAAACCCATTGCAAATTTGCAAATACATTGTAAGCCACAGTGCATATAGTCATCATAAGTCAAACATTCACTTCCATGTTTGTACATGCATGTAGATATGAACATAAAATTCTGTAGATGCTGAAATATATATTTAACATTTTGGAATTTTTGTTTACTTTCAGATTTAATGGAAACCACAGTAGAAGAGGTGCAATAATACAAGCAAGGAGATGCCCAAATGTCCAAACTTAACAAATGTGGAAGTGGACAGTGAAAACTGCTGATGATTCTGTAAACGTACATTTTTTCTCAGGGGTCATAGTTCCATAGATTCTCAATCTCTATTCAATCTGCGAGTAGAAAATTATGCAGGTTTCTGGCATTGTCATTGTATGTCTTATATGCACTTTAAGTACGCTCTGACAAATTTCTGCAAAAAATTTGTTACCGTGTATATAGGGTAAATTAATCCCAAGCGGAAAAATGTACGTCTACGGTAACCATGCAGGTGTCTGAATGCTAGCTTTACTTGTTATAATGGTCTTTCAATGTCTAAAGACAAAAGTGATATTATATTTTTGCTGAGTATCATATTTACACTTAATTATTTTAGAGTATCTTAATGCATAATCAGAATTTTGCATTACATATGCGTGTCCTCAATTCAAATAGTTTTGTTACTTAATGCACAGGTGCATTTTTTTCTCTTATGAAAGAGAGAGATCTTGTTATTTATTAGCATTTTTTATTGTTAGTGTTTTGTTTAGTGTGGGTACGTTACAATGTGTGTGTTTTTCAAACAGAGTTTTTTAATGTGAAATGAATGCAAGAGTGAGTTCATATAGACTAAAAACAAATTATAGTGCATAGTATATATTATTTCCTATGTAGCTTGTAACACAAGCTTTGATTGGTTACAAGGTCGGGTGTAAATTTCCCTACACCTGACTTGAGCCGGGGGGTAAAAAAACATGATGTCACAATGTATAGTTTCTCTATGATAAAAAGCAAATAACATGACGTCACGATGCATTGTAGGACATAGTAAATCTTTATCAGTAGCTTGAAACACAGTTGATTGGACCTGTTTACAAGTAATTTATTTGGGTTAACATAATATTCTTTTCTGTATTGCATTTTTGTCTTCCATAAAATAACAATAAGATTTATACTGTATATTTGAAATTCATATTTATTGTCACTATAAAACAATTTGTCAAGTAGAATGCAGAATGTGTTTTTAGAATTGAGTAATGTGCAATATATCTTTGATTTAGAAGTGTATTCCAATGTGCTGTTGATTGCACAAAAGCTGGAAGACTAAATAGAGGATATTCAATGTTTTGTAGATAGATATGGAATTTATTTCATGAATGGGACAGGATTTTTAGCTCACCTCAACGAAGTTGGGGGAGCTTATGTAATACCCTCGGCGTCGGCATCCCAGGTTAAGGTTTTTGGAGCAGTTTTCTTTTCAAGCACTTCTATGGCCTATATTTGTCAGAGATGCATGGAGGATGCTTCTAGTGTGTTTTATTGTAACAGTCAAGGTTTCAGATGCTGCAATTTCAGCTAAAGAATGACCAGGTTAATGTTTTTGGAGCAGGTTAAAGTTTTTGGAGCAGGTCTCATTTCCAAGTAACTATAAGCCCTATATTGACCAAACTTGCATGGATGAGACATCTAAGGATGCACACTACTGGACTTACTTCGGATGCTGGATATGACTTATATTTTCCGGATGAGTGACCAGGTTAAGGTTTTTGGAGCTGATCTCATTTCCAAGTAACTATAAGCCCTATATTGACCAAACTTGCATGGATGATACATCTAAGGATGCACACTACTGGACTTGCTTCAGATGCTGAATCTGACCTATATTTTATGGATGAGTGACCAGGTTAAAGTTTTTGGAGCAGATGTCATCTCCAAGTATCTATAAACCCTATATTGACCAAACTTGCATGGATGATACATCTAAGGATGTACACTACTGGACTTGCTTCGGATGCTGGATATGACCTATATTTTCCGGATGAGTAACCAGGTTAAAGTTTTTGGAGCAGATCTCATTTTCAAGTAACTATAAGGCCTATCTGAACCAAACTTGCACGGATGATGCATCAAGGGACGAACAATCTCAAAACTTGCTACGGATGCTGGATTTGACTTACATTTTCTGGATGAGTGACTAGTTTTAAGTTTTCAGATAAGTCTATTCCCAAGTAACTGCAAGCTCTATCAGATCAAAATTGCATAAATGTTGCATCTAGGGATGCACACTCCTAGATTATTAGTTTAGTGTGGGACTCTGCCTTACTTAAAGACAACATTCGTTGATGTGAGCTCTGTAATCTCTGATTACCCATGTTTGATATTTTCACGAGTGCGAAGCACGAGTGAAAGTATCAAAAAATCCTGTCTCGCAAGTTATAATTACATATGACAATATTTATACTATTTAATAACAAAATGCTGCATTTGTTTTAGTGTGAAATTAAAGTATGTTAATATTAGAAAACGTACACAAAATCTCAAAAAGAGAAAAATTCATCAATTCATGGTATTTGATTTCATAAATTCACGATTAAATAAAAAATGATTTTAAAGATGTATATAACTTAAAAATCATTGACAAGAAGAATTAACAAAAATGACTAAAGAATATGATATGATTGAGTAAGAGTTATGAAATGCTATGACAGGAAAATTGTTTGCATGGTAATTTTATTTGGTACAATTTTATAAAAGTCATTGTTTTCTTTTTCATTTGAAATGCAGCTTTACACTTTCACTAAATTGGCACACAACACCCATTTTCGTGAAGAAGAAAACATGTTCATTGGCATACTACAGTGAATTATTTGTGCTGTTTAAATTTTTTCTTGATAGTTATGCTCATATTTTATCTAGGCTTAATAAATTTTCTCTAGCTACCTTGAGCCTGTCCAAATTATAATGAGTTGAAATCAACAATTTACATAAAAACACATTATAGCATGAAGCATGGATTTCATAACTCTTTGTAAGTTGTAGTTAAAGAGCAGAATATGTTGTTTTTAGTCTCGTTGAAAGACGATATGATATATTATCCTTGCTGCAGCAAGATTCTCGGCGTACATTGTATCTAATGGGATCTGTAAAGTTAAAAAGTCAATTTTTAGCCCTCACATTTAAGCACTGCCTTATACCTGAACAGTCAATTTTTTCATGTATTGATGTACACTTTATTAGAAGGTGAAATAAAAAAATGTCAAATCTAGATTTTAAAATTGCCTTTTTAATTTCTTTGGGGAGGGGGAAATGATTGGAGCATTTTAAATATAATCTTTTAGACTCATTTATTTCAAAGTGAGGATCCTTTCACTGTTGGATTTTTGAAAAAGTGTTTTTCAATGAGCAGATACGACTTGAGAAAAGGCTTAGTCGCAATTATCCAACATTGAATCCCTGACATGGAAAATAAAAATTATCCAACATTGAATCTCTGACATAGAAAATACCAACATTGAATCCTTGACATAGAAAATAAAAATTATCAAACATTGAATCCCTGACATAGAAAATAAAAATTATCCAACATTGAATCCCTGACATAGAAAATAAAAATAATCCAACATTGAATCCCTGACATAGAAAATAAAAATAATCCAACATTGAATCCCTGACATAGAAAATAATTATCCAACATTGAATCCCTGACATAGAAAATAAAAATTATCCAACATTGAATCCCTGACATAGAAAATAAAAACTATCCAACATCGAATCCCTGACATAGAAAATAAAAATCATTCAACATTGAATCCCTGACATAGTATACACCTATATTTACTGGCTATGAGGACAATAGCAAGTTTATCGTTCCCCAAGACAGCAACTATTTCCCGAGGCGCAGTCGAGGGAAATAGTTGCTGTCGAGGGGAACGATAAACTTGCTATTGTCCGAATAGTCAGTAAATAAGTGTTTTATTATACCGAAGCAGTCTTTACTTGTGTTACGTCACAATCTGGATAAAACCAGAAGAGTTCCGAGATGAAAAGCGAGGGAAATAGAATGCTGCCGGTGAATAGTTTAATGAATATTTCACCGTGGGCAAATAGCACAAAAACTATTCCACGGTAGGGGCTGTTTGGAAAAAATAGCATGTTTATTAATTCGTAATATATTTTTATATAGAAAAAATTCACAGAGGTATAATAAAAAATAAATTATCCAACATTGAATCCCTGACATAGAAAAAAAATTACCCAACATTGAATCCCTGACATAGAAAATAAAAATTATCCAACATCGAATCCATGACATAGAAAATAAAAACTATTCAACATTGAATCCCTACGGAAGCCCGTTGAGGCCAGTTCAGAGAAAGAAATATTTTTTATTGCGTTAAACGCAATAAGTATTGCAAAAAGTATTGCGTTTATTCGCAAAAGCATTGCGTTTAAACGCAAAAGATTGCGTTTAATCGCAATCTTTTGCGTTTCAACGCAAAGTGTTTTGCGTTTAAACGCAATATACATTGCGATTAATCGCAATCTTTTGCATTTAAACGCAATGATTATTGCGATTAAACGCAATGTTTTGCGTTTAAACGCAATAAAAAATATTTCTTTCTCTGAACTGGCCTCAACGGGCTTCCGTAAATCCCTGACATACAAAATAAAATTATTCAACAGTGAATCCCTGACGTAGAAAATAAAAATGATCCAACATTGAATCCCTGACGTAGAAAATAAAAATGATCCAACATTGAATCCCTGACGTAGAAAATAAAAATGCTTAAAATTTGACTTGGATTTCCTATCAAAAGCTAAACAATTGTATGTGTTGAAGATGTCTTCTGACGTAGATTTTGGTCAAACTTTTTTTTGTTTAGTGCAAAACAGTAAAATGGTTTCCCCAGTCTTGTATTCTACGTAGAAAAGAAATTCAAAGATAAATTCATAATAACACTAAATGTTAATTTGAGAATTGTTATTTGGTAAGAAACAAAAACAATATAATTTAGATGACCATGTGCAACTATTGAAACAAAAACATGAAAAAGTGCATATGCTACAGTTCATTTTACCAAATTTTAAAACCACTAAATATAAGATAGTATTTTGTTTTGAAACATAAACTATATGTATTTCTGTCAATTTTGATGCTGAAAGTTTCATTCTGATTTTGGAAAGAGCATTTGTTTATAACTCGATTTTAAACACTTTATGTCAAGAATGATATCCTGTTAAGGAATAATTAAAAATATAGAAAAATGATTTGTTAATAAAGTTAAATTGCACTGGACTTCATAGCTGCAGTTTAGCCCGCTGGTCTGAAAAACTGGGATGGACGACCTAAGAACTGCAAAACCACCCACTGAAAAAAATGAAAAAGAAAAGAAATAAATCGAGAAAGAGCGCACGTTTTTGTGCTCAATAAATATACACTTTTTTAAATGGGTGGTACTGTAGCTCTACGGTCGTCCATTGTTATAGGACATTATTTTGACATGACTTACTTGTTCCATACTCTTCCATACAGAAGTCCGTAAGTTGACGACAGACCAGGGAATTTGCTCACGTACAAGTGGTAATGGCAAGCTGTTTTACCACTTATTCGGAAGATATTTCTCTAAATGACAGAGATATCTCTTATTTTAGAGATAGCTCTGTCGAAATAGAAACATCTTTTTAAAATAAAGATATCTCTCTAAGTAGAAGATATCTCTGTCATTTAGAGAGATATCTTTCTCACTTTGATCTCTTTTTTTACTTAGAGAGTTATACACAGTAAGATATCTTTTTTATTTTGAGAGATATCTCTTTCACTTAGTAGAATGTCACATCTTTTGAATTGTGCTGAACTAAACTTCCTTGCATTGTTTTTAAGTAGTTGCATGGGGCTTATTAAGGGTTTCCTATAGAATAGATGCATGTTAAATACTCAATGTCCAAAAAAAAAAAAGTTCTGACGAATTACGGCATGCTATCATGAAGTTTTATTGGGTAATAGCATTTATGAAGTTCACTTCAAATGAAAATCCTGGTGGAGATATATATTATATAAAATATTTTTATCCAGGGCTGTAGCTTAATAGACCCCCCTTTTCAAAAAAAAAAAAAAAAAAGAAAAAAATGAGGGACAGGGTTTTGCTGAAAGTTTGAGAATGTAGGACATTCGGGAAAAAGATTGCGGACAATTTGCAGACAACTCATCTGAAACCATGACGAAAAACTTCCAAAAATTAAACGGCAAGTTTGCTGATTTCTTAAAGAAATTATCATTGATTTCCATAATTACGGAAATTGAAAAAAAAATCCAAGATGTAAAATTATCTAAGTTCCGCCCTGACAATGATCTTATTTTGAGAAAGCACCATATGTGCTATGTTTTACTAGAAAAAAAATGGCAAACTGACAACTAAAATTTGCGATAAACGTGTTGACAACTTTTCTTTCGTCAACTTTCCTTATTTATGTAGCAGTATTAATACCATTATCACCTAGATATGGAGTTTATGTGCCCCAGTTGATTCGATTCGGATGAACATGTTCTACGTGCGAACAATTTTTAAAACGAGACAGGCTATTGAGAAATATGTTGATGTTACAAGGATATCAACAATCTCGTCTAAAGTCAACATTTCACATTCCATAGTCGATACAATGGCCTTGTTTGCAAATACACTCTGTCGTTTTAAGTTGAATGTTGACTGATGTCTTTCACACAAATTGTTAGGACATAATTTTGACACTGAATTGTCTACGATTTTTTTTTCCGTTTACCCGACATGAAAGGAGTACACGGCAGGTGTGACCGGTCGACATGGGATACTTACATCTCCATGGCATCCGATCCCACCTTTGTTTTCAGAGGTCCATGTTTGGTCTGCTCATAATCTGTATTGTTTAATTGGACTTTTGAAATGATCGCTTTTCGTTTTATGTGAATTTTGTGAAGTAATTGTAATGCTGGATTAAGAAGTATCAATTGTATAGTTCCAAACATAAAAGAGAAATTTTTTGTTGGTTAAAATTTTCTCCTGCGAACTGAAAATTGATTGCTAGTTTAGGTAACTTTGAGATTAAAAAGTTTTTTTTTAAAGAAATTTTCTCTTAAACGTATCATAAAATTTACGTAAAGGCCTTGTCCGTTGCACAGCACTTAGCTGATTTATAAAATGCTTTGATTTGTCTTTTAAAAAAGTAACTTCATATTTGTCATACTAATCTGAAAAAAAGTTATGAAAATCGAAATTTGACATGAAAATGGGTAAGATCGTCCAGCCTCAAAGACAGGCATATAAATTTGTAAATCCAAAATCATTCAATTTTATTAATATTGTCACAATTATACAATGAACAAAATTAATATCAAATTTTGTATTTATATACTGAATCTGTCTTATGCCGTTGTAGGTATTTGTCAAACTCTTCGTTCAGGGCAACAGTAAAATAATTCCTCCAATCTCCTACCTTACCTAAAAAGGAAAGAAACAAAAGCGTCGTAATCTAATGACCCAGTATCACGTTTTCCCAAAAATAGAAACATTTCAAAGGCAACCATAATATAATAATTTTGAAAATGTGAACCATATGTGCGTCTCTTAGCCTAGTCCGAAATATCTGACTTTTCCCAGTCGTTTTTCACGATTTTGTAATTTTACGTGCATGGAAAACATAAAAGAAAACAAGAGACCCATGGGCCACATCGCTCACCTGAGCACCTTGGCTAGGAAAAGAAAAAAGCAAAATCAGTTCAGTATTGAAAAGTTTACCGGGGGGGGGGGGGGGGGGAGGGACTTGAATTTTAAACTACCTGATGATCCTTCCATATCAATATAACAAATGACTTTGCTGTTCTTGAGCAGAAGATTTTTTCCTATATATTCATTTGTAAAAAATGATCCCCTATTGTGACCCCACATTACACCCTAGGGCCCTCTTTTAAACAAATTTGATTCTACACTACCTGAGGATGCCTCCATATCAATATGACTAATCATGGCTTTTCTGTTCTTGGGAAAAAGATTTTTTCCGATATATTCCTATGTAAAACTTTGATCCCCCATTGTGGCCCCACCCTACCCCCGGGGGTCATGATTTGAACAAACTTGAATCTACACTACCTGAGGATGCTTCCATATAAATATGTCTCATCATGGCTTTGCTGTTCTTGAGAAGAAGAGTTTTTAAGAATTTTTCCTATATCCTCCTATGAAAAACTTTTATCACCCATTGTGGCCCCACCCTATCTCCAGGGGTCATGACTTGAGAAAAACTTGAATCTACACTACATGAGGATGCTTCCATATAAATATAACCAATCATGGCTTTGCTGTTCTTAAGAAGATTTTTAAAGATAGTTTCCCATAGATTTCTATGTAAAACTTTGATCCCCCATTGTGGCCCAACCCTACCCCCGAGGGTCATGATTTGAAAAAAACTTGAATCTACACTATCTGAGGATGTTTCCACATAAGTTTCATTTTTCCTGGCCCAGTGGTTCTTGAGAAGAATATTTTTAAATGAGGCCATTATTTTTTCACTAATTCCTAATTATCTCCCCTTGAAAGAGGGCGTTGCCCTTCATTAGAACAAACTTGAATCCCCTTCACCCAATACTTTGTGGCAAGTTTAGTTGAAATTGGCCCAGTGGTTCTTGAGAAGAAGTCGAAAATGTGAAAAGTCTACAGACAGACAGACAGACGGACAGCTAGACAGACGGACGCCGGACAAAACGTGATCAGAAAAGCTCACTTGAGCCTTCGGCTCAGGTGAGCTAAAAAATATAAAATGTTCTCCTGTGAACTGGAAATTGTTTACTTGTATAGATAACTTTGAGATAAAAACTATTTAAAAAAGAAAAAGAAATCTCTTAAACATATCATAAAATTTAGGTAAAGGCCTTCTCCGTTACACATTAGCTGATTTATAAAATGTCTTGATTTTTTTTTTTACTAAAAGAGTAACTCCATATTTGTCATACTATTCTGAAAAAGTTGTGAAAATCGAAATTTGACATGGAAATGATTTAGATCGTTCAGCCTCAAAGACAGGCATACAAACTAACAAATCTGAAATCATTTGATTTTTATTAATATTGGCACAATTACACAATGAAAAAAATTAATATCAAATTTCGTATATATATACTGAATCTGTCTTATGCTGTTTTCCTGGCACGTCTCTTATAGCCATTGGTGAATTCATAAGAACCATACCTTTTCTATATAATGACACTCCCTTTGTATCTTCTTTTACACTGGCCGCCGCTGTCTTTAGATTTTGAAAAGAACATTTTTCAGCAATTATGCTGGCAAGTTCTTCGTCACATGGTTTATCCATAAACAATGCCAATCGCTTTATTTCACTTATTGGATCCTGTTAAATGTAATATTAAGGGCGTTAATGTTAACTTTAATGTTATTAGTTATTTTAGGAGCAAGTATAGATGTGTGTATTTCCTTTGTTGGGCATGTCTGATAATGACACTAATCACACGTATTTGTTTATCCGTTGTTTATCTCTTGCCATCATTCTATGACCTTGACATGTCCTTGAAACAATATTATAGCAATAAATTTAATGCAATGGTTTAAAGTATTTTAGGGATCAAATATAAATTAAATACATGAACTGTTCAAAGTTATTCACTACACAAGAATTGCAAGGTATTATACCAATATAAACTGTCCAGTGACTTTGACATTTTAAAAGTTTTGATCTTGAATCAAATCCCTGACACACCTGAAGGTAATAAACAACAAAATAATATGATGTATTCTTATATTATAGTCCAGGCCACAGACTAAAGTCAAAAGGGGGAGTTTCGATAAGGCTGTTTTTCGGCCCCTCAAGAAATATAATGAAATTGTGATATGTTGTAGATAAAAGTGTCATCTTCCTAAAAATATGAAAAAAATTTATACTGCACATTTTCTGGTCACGTGATAATTAAAAATTTAAGTATACCCTCTTCCCTATATTTTTGGATTGGTCATATTTAAAGGGGGTAATGGAGTCTATTTAACGTCAAAATCATAAATGAAATATTACAAATGTGAATAAAGACATCAAATAACCAATTTCAATATTTGTCTTTACAGAAAATTAATGATGTTTATTTTATTTGAATGCGTTTTAAGGTGCAAGGTTTTTCTCGTGTTTTAATTGTAACGCTTCTTTCAAAGAGGATTGATGTAACATACAAAAAGTATATAAATAATAAAGACAGGAATTTTCAAAAAATGAATTAATCGACACTTTATACGTAGACTTAATAATCAATATATAACATTTTCCGGTACGTAGAAAAGCAAATGTAAAGCTATATAGACAAGAGATAGATAAACTTAAACTGTCATTGACAGGTGTTTGACACTGCTTGCAACACATTTTTATCAACTAAAGCTATTGTGCTAAATAAAGTATTAATAAAATGTATCGAAATATCATTAAATTGAATTTAAAAAAAAATCTTGAAATTAACAGATTTCGGAATTCGGTTCGATTAAAAAATGCAGCTATTTATATTTTTAAAGTATATTTAAAAGAATCATACTGCAATGTACATTGTATTTAATAATACCAAGCGTATTACTACCAGTCAAAATATTTTTTCAAGATAGTAATTAATAATTAGTCCCATACCGGTGAAGCCGGAGGGGTCTATAGGTTTCCTCATCGTCTGTCCGCATGTTTGTCCGTCCGTCCCTCTGTCTATCTGTCAGTCTGTTCCACTTGGTTTTTCGCACTTTTCTCTAAACGCTTGCAGATATTGAGCTGGTTTTTGGTATTTATAGTGTATCCTGATCAGAAACAGAGTTTGAAATTCTAGTTTGAATTTGTTAAATTCTGCTTCATTGAATTTTGACGGAATATTACAAATTCAAAAGAAAAAGGGCGTTCGGCGTTTTTTGTTTTGTTTTGTGTTTTTTTATATATATATATATATAAAAGATTGCATATATTGAGCTGATTTTTGTTTTGGTATATGTGTTAAACTTGAGTTATAGATCAAGTTTGCATTTTCTTCCGCTTCAATGATTTTCAAATAGGGCATTTTTAATTTTTAATGGAAAGCAGGTTATACTTGGTGTGCCGATAGTGGACTATTATTGCTAATGCAGTGCTTACAGAATGTGTGAATAAATAGCTAAATGATAAAAAAAAACAAAACTAAAATACATTGAGTGCATGTCTTCTTTTGATTCTTAAACATAAAAGTATTTACGCACATAAAGAGGTGCATTAGTTTTCAGCAAAAATGAGACAATCAAGGCAAGCGAGGACCTACATGTAATTTCGCGCGCTTCCCACTACCTTTTGATGCTTATGTTGTTTCACCAACTCTAATCACAATTTGATTTGCTAGACCATAGCCGCAATTTAAAATACATTTGTAAATACCAAATGTATGTGTTAAATCATATCCTGCAGAAACGTACAAATCAACATCAACATCCAGTCTTAAAAGTAATCTACGTTCCCTACATGTAGACCACACGGAAATAAATGTGAACCTTCTCTAACAGATTGAAGCGAGGAGAGATTCTATTCAAAGGAATGACTATAACCATATCCATGATAAAGAACGTTAATGAGTGGACTAATTCTTAAACTTCTCTTTAGTTCAGTCAGTCATTCGGAAAATGTAAGATCCGGCATCTGTTACAGTTCTGGTAATGTGTAACCCTAAATGCATCATCGATGCATACTTCTTCAAGATAGGGATTATAGTTACATGAAAATTAGACATGTTCCAAAATATATACCCTGAGCATTCATCGAGAAAATGTAAGTCAGATCTAGCATCTGAAGCAGTCTGACAGTGTGCATCCGAAGATGCATCATGAAGCACGTCTTCTCAACAAGCTGCACTGCTCCATAAACAATAACCTGCTTTAAAAACATTAACCTGGACATTCTTTAACTGAAAATGCAGCATCTAAAACCCGACAGATGACAAGAAAACACACTAGATCAGGCGACTCTGATGATATGAAAAAATTGATTAAAAACTTTCAATAACTTGTACGCCTTTAACGATGGTATTACAAAAGCTCCCCCAACTTCGTGTAGGTGAGCTAAATATGTGACGTTAACCTTACACGCGAGCGACGAAATAAGTATGGAAATAACGATAGGATACGATTATGTTTTCTTATGTTAATATTTTAGAGAGTTCTCTTTGGTTTAGAAAAAATATGCTACTTTTGGCTTTGTATTTTAACACGGCGTCAGATCAAGTAACCAGGAGCTTTTAATTTTAGATATGCAAATTTTAGACAACTTTCAATTTTTGGATATGAAGTGCACACGCGACACTCATCATATTTTAAGATATTAGTGTGCAGAGTATATCTAATTACTGAGCAAAACTAGGTGAGTGTCCCTCATGCACTTCATATTCTTACCATCGATTTATAAATGCCACCCTCTTATATTTTCCCATTAGCCTAATGTTAAAGCATTTGAGGGTACCTCTAAGAATGTGCCAACTACGGAATTCATCTCATATAAACTCTTGAAATATAAATAACAAAAATTATCATATATATCTTGAATTCTAAACCAAATTTGAAAAAATAAAACGAAATTTATTTTTATGAAAATAAGTGGGCCGATAAGCGGCCTTATCGAAACTCCCCCTTTTGATTTAAGATATCTTAAATTCCATCTAACATATGTGCATAAAAACTTACAGATTTTTATAATACACAAATTCAAACACATGTTGAAAATTTTGTTTCATTATCAAAATTATTGAAATTGAGATTGTGAAATAAAATACAGTGTTTCAATAAATGAGCCAAAACTTAAGGCGTACCAGGACCTTAAATCAAGATCCTGGCTTAATATATATATATATATATATATATATATATATATATATATATATATATATATATATATATATATATATATATGGCATTATTCCTTTATCCAGTAATAAGTCGTAAGGTGTGACTCAAACAATTCCAAGATTCCGGGTTACATGCACCTGTTGTAGATCTTCGTACATAATACAATGGACTGGATGGTCCGGATGCTCTTTGATGTACTTTTCCCACGCTAATGTATAGGTCGTCCAGGCGCAGAAATACACTACACACAAAATATTTTTGTTACACAGATGAAAAATAGGATAGGTTTGGAACAATAAGTGTCATGGTCAATAATAATTAAAAAAAAAAAGATGTGTTTGTGAAACACTGATGCCCCCGTATGGCAACTTATAGCAAAGGTTAAACTTTCTCAAAAGCAAATCAAATATGTTGGTACACAAAGGAAGGTCTTGTCTCGAGGAATATACCTGTGAAATATGAAAGCCCTAGCAGCAACCATTGAATAGATATGGAAAAGGTTAAAGTTTTTCAAAAGTAAGTCAAACATCAAGGTCAAATGGTCAAAATTAGCGGTGCCCAAGGAAAGGCCTTCTCACAAGAAATATACAGGTGAAATATGAAAGCCGAAGTATCATTCGTTCAAAAGTTATGACCAAGGTAAAAGTTTTTCAAAAGTAGGTCAAACTCCAAGGTCAAGGTCAAAGGATTACAATTGTTGGTATCCAAAGGAAGGTCTTGTCACAAGGATTGCATATGTGAAGTATGAAAGCCCTAGCTTCAATGGTTCAAAAGTTATGGCCAAGGTTATAGTTTTCAAAAAGTAGGTCAAACTCCAAGGTCAAAGGGTCAAAGTTGTAGGTATCCAAATGAAGGTCTTGTCACAAGGATTAAATATGTGAAGTATGAAAGCCCTAGCACAAGCTGTTGAAAAGTTATGGCCAAGGATAAAGTTTTTCAAAAGTAGGTTTAGCTCCAAGGTCAAAGGGTCAAGGTTGTTGGTATCCAAAGGAAGGTCTTGTCCCAAGAATTACATATGTGAAGTATGCAAGTCTTAGAGCTAACTGTTGAAAAGTTATGGCCGATGTTAAAGTTTTTCAAAAGTAGGTCACACTCCAAGGTCAAGGTCAAAGGGTCAAAGTTGGTGGTATCCAAAGAAAGGTCTTATCTTAAGGATTACATTTGTGAAGTAAGAAAGCCCTAGCACCAATTGTTCAAAAGTTATGGCCAAGGTTAAAGTTGGATAAAATTTTGCAAAACTGGGTCAAACTCCAAGGTCAAAAGGTCAAATATGGTGGTACCCAAAGAAAGGTCTTGTCACAAGGAATACACATGTGAAATATGAAAGCCCTAGCTTCAACTAATCAAAAGTTATGGGCAATGTTAAAATTTTTGTGGACAAACAGACAAACAGACAGACAGACGGACGGACAGGGCAAAAACTATATACCCCCGAATCTTCGATACGGGGGCATAAAAATTAAAACAATTTAAGATGTGTTTGTGGAATACTAATGCCCCCGTATGGCAGCTTTGGGCGAAGGTTAAAGTTTCTCAAATGCAAGTCAAACTCCAAGTCAAAAAGATCAAAGGTCTTGGTACCCAAAGAAAGGTCTTGTCTCGAGGAATATACCTATGAAATATGAAAGCCCTTACACCAAACGTTGAAAAGTTATGGCGAAGGTTAAAGTTTTTCAAAAGTAGGTAAACATCAAGGTCAAAGCCAAATGGTGCCCAAGGGAAGGTCTTGTAAAAAGTGATACACATCTACGTAAAATATGAAAGCCCTAGAACCAAATATTCAAATGTTATGGCCTAGGTTTTTTAACTTAGGTCAAACTCCAAGGTCAATGGGCCAAAATTGTTGGTGTCCAAAGGAAGGTCTTGACACAAGAAATACAAATGTGAAGTATGAAAACCCTAGCATCAATTGTTCAAAAGTTATGACCAAGGTTAAAGATTTTCAAAAGTAGGTCAAACTCCAAGGTCAAGGGGTCAAAATTGTTGGTATCCATAAGACGGTTTTGTCACAAGGAATACACATGTGAAGAATGAAAGTCCTAGAACCAACTGTTCAAAAGTTACGGTCAAGGTTAAAGTTTTTCAAAAGGAGGTAAAACTCCATGGTCAAGGTCAAGGGTCAAAGTTATTGGTATCCATATAAAGATCTTGTCACAAGGAATACACATGTGAAGTATGAAAGCCCTTGCACCAACTGTCCAAAAGTTATGGCCAAGATTAAGGTTTTTTCAAAATTTGGTCAAACTCCAAGGTTAAGGACAAACGGTCAAAGTTGTTGGTATGCGAAGGAAGGTCTTGTCACAAGGTATACACATGTGAAGTTTGAAAGCCTTAGCACCAACTATTTAAAAGTTATGGCCAAGTTTTAAATTTGATAAAATTTAGCATAAGTGGGTCAAACTCCAAGTCAAGGTCAAAATTGATGATACAAAAACAAAGGTCTTGTCACAAGAAATACACAAGAAAGCCATAGCTCCAACCAATCAAAAGTTATGGGCAAGGTTAAAGTTTTTGCGGACAAACAGACAAATAGACAAACGGACAGACAGAGTAAAAATCTTCGAATACGGGGGCATAAAAACATGGCATTGTACAGAAATAAATAAATAAATAAATAAATAAATAAATAAATAAATAAATAAATAAAAAATAAATAAAATTAGATGTGTTTATGAAACACTGAAACTTAAAGTTTCTCATATGCAAATCAACTCCAAGGTCAAGAGATCAAAAATGTTGATACCCAAAGAAAGGTTTTGTCACAAGGAATAAACCTGTTAAAAATGAAAGCCCTAGCACCAACCATTCCAAGGGTTTTTGCCAAGGTTAAAGTTTTTTCAAAAGAAGATCAAACTCCAAGGTCATGGTCAAAGGTCAAAACTATCGGTACCTTAGGGAAGAACTTATCACAATACACTTCATACATGTGAAATATGAAAGCTGTTGCACCTACTATTTAAAAGTTATGACCAAGATTAAAGTTTTCCAAAAGTAGGTCAAACTCCAAGGTCAAGGTCAAAAGTTCGAAATTGCTTAAACCCAAAGGAAGGTCTTGCCACAAGGAATATACATGTGAAATATGAAAGCTGTTGCACCATCTGTTCAAAAGTTATGGCCAAGGTTAAAGTTTCTCAAAAGTAGGTCAAACTCCAAGGTCAAAAGGTCAAAAATTGTTGTACCCAAGGAAAGGTCTTATCACAAGGAATACATATGTGTAGTATGAAAGCCCTAGCAACAACCGTTCAAAAGTTATGGCCAAGGTTAAAGTTTGATAAAAATTTTTAAAAGTTGGTCAAACTCCAAGATCAAGGTCAAAAGGTCAAATATGTAGGTACCCAAAGAAAGTTCTTGTCATCAGGAATACACATGTGAAATATGAAAGCTATAGCTCCAACCAAAAGTTTTGGGCAATGTTAAAGGTTTTAGCGGACAAAAAGACAGATAAACAGCTAGACAGACAGATAAACGGATAAACAGGGCAAAAAATATATGTCCCCGAATCTTCGATTACGGGGGCATAAAAATAAATAAAATCAGAAAATACTTAAGTGATTTATGTTTATAAACAATAAAAGTTTTCAAGTAGATCCGACATGGCATGTACATACTTTGTCCAAACATCTGTCCAATCATGCCTTTCATTGATTGATTGATTGTATGTTGTTTTAAGTCCCATTCGAGAATTTTTCACTCATATAGAGACGTCACTATATACCGGTGAAGGGCTTCAAATTTTGACCTTTACTCGGCACTCAGGGCCATTGAGCAGTGAGGGATCTTTATCGTGCCAACGCCTGCCGTGACACGGGGCCTCGGTTTTTAAGGTCTCATCCGAAGGACCCGCAACTTTCACTTCAAAGTGCTGAGCGCATGGCGAAGGAACAGTTGCTACACATTTTTTATTGACTTAGGTCAGTCGCGGCCGAGATTCCAACTCACGACCTCCCGATCACGGAGCGAGCGCTCTACCGACTCATGCCTTTGAAGAAGTTTCAGATTTCATTGTAAATTGATTTCATTCAAACAAGAGGAGGCTTTGTGTATATTTGTGTGTGTTTACGGCATGGAAATGAAGTATTTCGGACAACATCTCAAAATTCGGGACCAAAATAGCACATTTTGAGAAATAATTAAAATTAACAATATAAAAGTATATTTTTGCCAATTTAAAAAAAATGTAGGAAGGATCTTTTTAGTGGGATAAAAATGAAAGATGGAATTGAAAGATGAGAAATGGAATAATATGAAAAGTTTTAAATCACGTTTTATGCTTGATTTTTTTCTCTTCAGTTTAGTGAGTTTACGTAAGTTTTTCTGGTATTTTTAAAATGGAGATCAAGTCTAGGATATCAGAGGAGACGACGGTAGCAAATGTTCAAAAAGCGTATAAAAAAGGCTACAATTCTTTTTATCTTTCTTTCAAGTTTTTTGGGGAGTATTATGTTTCATGAAAACACAAATTTCACAAGTATTTCATACTTGATTTAAGGAATGAATTTAATAGTAACCCAATTCATACGGTATCAATTTGGTTGGGGCAGTTTTCGGTTTATAAAAAAAGTGTAAACTGCCCCAACCCAGTTTATATCGTATAAGTTGGGTACCTATTTAATTCATCCCTTATACTATAGTTATTTAATTTTCATCATTTAGTATAAAAAAAATATGATTGCCCTTAAAAATGACTTCAAATTGTTCAAAATTTAAATGTATACTTTACTTGCTTCGTGTTTCTCCATGAAAAAATCCATATACTGCTCAAAGGAGCCATGGAAGTTTATCTTGTCGACACAATGATGGTAAAACGATACTGACACGTCTTTTGGATTGCGCTGAACAAAAACTACCTTACATCGTTTTTGTAACATTTGTTTAGGTAGATTACTGGGGTAAAAATGAGTGTTAAACACTCGAGGTGAAATGGTGGACTCCAGTACTTCTGGTGTGTGGAATTCCAGCATGTAGCTTTCTTTTTCTTTAAGGTGGTATTCAGCACTTTGTTTAAGAAGCATACTCATAATTTCCCATGTCCAGTGTGTTCCTTGGAAAGAAAAAAAAACCGTTAAAGCGATTGCGTTATTAAAATTACATGTATTTAATTCAATGATTAAATCATTGTGACTTTCAATTAATTTCAAACATTTTTCTCTTTTCTATTACATTAATTTTCCTTACTTTTTCAGTTTTCCATCTTGTCATTTTGAAAAATATAAACATATTGTAAAATCAACATACTGTAGAATCAAAGTTTTTGGTGAGATCAAATTTTAAAAGAAAAATGTTGGTTCATGATTGAGAATAAGAACATGTAATTTTTTATTTTAATTCATGGGTCTATTTATAACGAAAGAACAAAGAAAATAATATCCCCACGAAAATTAGTGATTTTGCAGTATATTTTCTTTTTTAAGTGAGTGGTCGAATACCAGAATTCGTCATTAATCTTATAGGTTATAATTATCATCCTAGTTTTACTATAGACCGTTTCACGATAACTGCGGTACAAAATGATATAATTTGGTGAAAAAAAAACAATTGTTTAATATATGTCGTTTAATTATCTGTCAACAAAAACTTATCCAAACGTTATTAATTTGCCCTGCAAAAGAGTAGTACCGAAGTTATCGTGAAGGAGCTTATTATATCGTTAGAAAAAATGGTGAAATGAAAGAAAATTTATTTTCTATATATGTATGTACCTGCTTTAGGATAAGCACACAAGAAAAAGTCGTCAGAACTGACATTCATTTCTTTAAGCTTTGGAAAATTGGTCTTTGGGTTTGGATAATTTCCCTTGAGAACCCTCGTTGCATTGAGGCATTGGCCTCCAGATTCTATTAACTCCATTATATTTCCGTGACCGTCGGCGACTTTGATGACATCTTCCTTGGACACCGTTGTGCCATAAACTGAAAATTTTCAGATGCTTAGTTTATATCAGATAAGAATATGGTCACATGCATTTCTTGCAGAACAGCGTTGCTTTGGTACTTTGCTGACAATCATAATCAGTACGTTTTGAATTCTTGCAGTTTATTTTCTGTCCTTTTTTTTGATTATAAATCACATATATTTATTTCATTGGTATTGACTACTTTTATTTTGCCATGAGGTAATAAGGCTGCATATAAAACCTTTATAATTGCAAATAAAAATGTTCGGAATTTCCCAAGAACATGCAAGTTGTTATAGGAAGACTTTAATATTATATCCCACTTGAGTCTTGCTCTTGATTACATTTGGTATGTGTGGTTATGAAAATCCTGGAATCCTGGCTACAGTGCACCGCCTTAACTTCTGGATAGCAGACCGTTTTTGTATTTACTGTCATTAAGTGATATCACCTATTCGAATTGGCGATGTCACTTATTCAGCTTTTGAATTGGGGATATAACCTATTTAATTTGAATGTGTGATATCACCTATTCGAATAGGTGATATCACCTATTTGATTTGAAATGATGATATCACCTATTTGAATAGGTGAATAAATCTAGTTTGTAAAATTTCATCAATTTTAAATCAATGCTGAGGAAATAAAATTGCTCTTTAAAATCCTTTTAAAATTTTCATCTTTTGCATTGAAGCTAGATTGTCTTGAGGAAGGGAACACTCATTATTTAATGTAGTAAGAAATGTAAATAGGTGATATCACTAATTCGAATTATTGACATCACTAATTCAAAAGGAAAAGGAGATATCACCTATTTGAATTGATGATATCACCTATTCATACAATGTATAGGTGATATAATCTATTCCATTGAAATAGGTGATATCACCTTTTAGAATAGATGATGTCACCTATTTATTTCCAATAGGTGATTTCACCAATTTGAAAAGATGATATAATGAAGATGATATAGATGAGTAATTGATATTATTTATCCTAATAGGTGATATCATATGGCACGCCGATTGCACCAAAATTATTTTCTGCACAACGATAATGATTTTATACACGAGTATGATGCAAAATATACACGAATAAGATAAAAATGCACGTATCGGTAAAAATTGCACATAGTTTGAAAGATTTTTACACAAACATAACGAAAAATATACGAATCTGAAATTTTTTACACGATTAAGGGGTATAAAATGCACAATCGTAAAATCAAAAACTGCACGAGCAGAGGAAACTAAAAATTACACAAACAATTTTACTGCGCATACAGCTGCGCATATCATTATTATGCACATAGAATATTCATTGTGTTCTTGGTTTTCTGTACTCTTTATCTCTTTATGAATGCTGGATCATGTAATCGACAGAAAATGGCGTTGACCATGATATGCATGTTTATTTGCTTCTTTATTTCTTTGCTTAAACTCTATCCGATTTCTAGCTAGCTAAAGCCAATCGAACGAATGAAGTGTTTTCTTGTGAACTATGTGAAAAAATTTAAAAGTTGTTCGGAGATACCATATTTTTCTTACATTGACCGAGATCCTAGCCAAAATATGGAGGTATTATATGATGTCGGACATAAATTGTGGCAAAAAAGGAATCGCATGTTTGTGTGTTATAATGCGGGGGGGGGGGGGGGGTACCATTGCATATAATGCATTCGACTCCGAAAAGTAATACACAGCAAACTCTAAATTCCTAACGATAAACAGATCTTGCTTTAAAAAAAATGATAGAATTATTTAGTTATTTTTTAGATATACGCTCTATGGCCTTTTAAAATTCTCTAACTGATAGATACAACTTTAACGGAAAGTACTTGTATAAAATATTATTAACACATGCATAATAAAACGATTAATAAAGTGGATTCTTCATGAAAATGATGGCAGAATTATTTCTGATTATAATTTATTTTGGTACTTCTCATTTGTACTAATTATGAATTCATTTGGGCAGATTTTTTTTCATTTAGGAATAGGAAATTATTCAGTTGGCTGGATATATTTTTTATTTTCGAAAAGATTAAAAAGTGGGGATTACCTGACCTTAGATATACAGAGTATGTTTTTAAAGTCAAACATAAAAAAATATTTTATTTCTAATTATATATATTATACATGTATCTTTACTTATAGAATATGAGGATATCAATTTTGGTTGGATATCTGTAGCGTACACTGTTATGAATTCCTTCGATGATATCGCATATTTTCAGTCATAAACTACTCAATAAAACACAAGACATTCCTAAGGGTAAGCGTTACCCTCATTCGTAATGGCGATTACTTGATAAATGTTTTCACTTTTAATAAATAGGACCAGATAAAGGGAAATTATATAATTATACTCTATGTGCTTTAGTACATGCCGTTTTTGTGTTTTGTTACTTAAAATTTGTCCAAATGAAATAACAAAACTCTACTAAAATGATCCTGGCACCGGTAAAACATATCATCAGCGGCGGATCTGGTTCGTGGATTGATGGAGTCGCAACATCTGAATCTATGTATCTATTAACGTTTCAAATCGTTGGACCATAATGACACATCAGAAATTTAAAAACATAGTGAATTACTAAAAACATCTACGTACAATGTTACAAATAAGAAAATGGGAATGGATATTATAATAAATAGAAAGAACATAGAATGTGTTTTATCACTCTTAAATAATGCAAATAAATCATGTTCTTTATGGAGCTCGAGGTTTGACAAATATTTTCCAAGATAACAATTTCTCTTTACATTTCAAATTCGTATGCATAAAATTTTAATTATTTTCCGAACACTAAGTTTTTGTAATAACAATTTTTACCTAAATCTATAGTCATTATAAAAAGAACATGACTGTTTAATTATAAAATGAAAATAATCTTCAATAACATTCAAGGAACATATTTGATACAAGATCCACTTTTTAAAAGACTATTCATGTGCATATCTAACGTTTTTGAAAATTCAGATTATGAGTTAAAAAGCCTAATCTATGCAATTTGTATTTTGTAAGTACACGTATACATGTACAAGTAATTAAAAAGTTTGCTTTATAGCAATATTGTACATGCGTATCAATAGCATCAACCAGGTCTTGTTTTACTTCGAGCATGACTACGAATAAATATAAGAAAACATATGATGAATATAAACCTCAAGAAATCTTTTTTTTTTATTACCGTGTGCAAATTTATTATTGTTAAAATCTGCATTGAAAATAAATATGCATGTGTAGCCAAGTTCCAGCTAATTAAGTTCATCTTGTATGTTTTCTTGAATTTGGTCTTACAATATCGTTACAGTTCAGTTGAATTGCAATCCTGATTTCGATAGACTATTTTATGTACCCATAAATTCTTAGAAAATATTTCAGGCACGTAGCGTCAGGAGGGGTCTGCCCCCCCCCACTTTTTTCCAAACATAACCTACTTCTATTGTAAATTTCCACTGAAAGCTGGATGCCCTCCTCCCTTTGTTGTAGGATAGTTTAAATCAAAGTAATTTGGTATTATAGAAAGTGGAAGGTGGACCCCCCCCTCCCCCACGAAATAGGATTTTCGAGTTTGGACACTTTACCTTATTTTTTCGCTTGTCAAGGTTTTTTTTCAGATAGGTTGTCAAAAAACTCTGACTGCCCCCCCCCCCCCCCCGCTTTCAAAAACGATACTACTTGCCTGTATTTTATAATTTTAAATTTTCTTAACTCCTTTATATGCATTTTAACTATTCAAAATAGAATACGCCGATACATTAAAAACAACATAAATTATAATTCACATAAGTAAAACGACTGTATATTTTTTTTCTACATTTTCATGGAGTTTTTATGAAATCACCACACGTTGCTCAAAAGTTAAGACTACATGTACTTTGTTACATACATATATCAAAAAGTGAGATACGCGTTTCAAAATTAAAATTTAAGTTGCACAATTATTTGCTCGATTTTCTTTACTGTTGACTTCCAGAAAGTTTTTGGTCAAATTCCACAACCCAGATGATCGCAACATTGCTTTTTTTTTTTTTTTTGCAATTTTGTATGTTTTTTTATATACATCTTTTTATGTATCAGTCAAAAACGATATATTTAAAAACAGCTTATAGAGACAAAAGAGTTACATTATTGATAACATACAGTGCATATTAGAATACAAAAATAGGAAAAAGGTGACTCGACCCCAGATTTAAAAAGAAAAAAAAAATGGAAAGGGGGGGGGGTTCCATACCCCAAGTGACTGTGGGTTGTTCATATACTACAAGTTTAAGATTGTGTGCCTGTCAATTTAACTGCATGTATAATATACGTTGTACATATTCTTTAGAGTCTAGCGGAATTTTAAAAGAATCTTATTTACTCCTCCTTTTGTAATTATAGTATGTTTCAAGCATCCAAGCCACATTGAACTGTTCTTTAATGAATATTAATGAAATGTGCGCAATGAGGATGCGTAGCACATTATGTCGATGTTGTATTCTCACTCGTGCAGTTTTCGTTTTTACGTTTGTGTAATTTCCTCACTATATCGTGTAAATATTTTGTTGATTGTGCAGTTTTTCTATTGTTTGTGTAAATTTCAATAGCTTCGTGTATATTTTCCTCACTTTGTGTAAGTTTTTACTTACTCGTGTAATTTTTGTTTTAGGTCGTGCAGAAAATAATTTTGAACCAATCGGCGTGCCATAATATCACTTATTCAATTTGAATGAGTGATATCATTTATTCAAATAGGTGATATCACCTATTCGAATAGATGATATCACTAAATGGCAGTAAATACCATTTATTTAACTCTTTAATTAAGCTATTTCGTACAAAATAAAATTACGCACATGAATATTATTATTTCTTATTCGATATAAGATAAACCCATATTCATTTTCTGTGTTTGCCATTTGATCATTTTATACCACAACTTAGATGTGTCTTCTAATTATGGACTGCGATCATTCTTTTATGCACATGATGCAATTCAGGGAAAAAACTATACTGGATAATGGCCAA